ACACCTAAAGAATTGGGCGGCCTTGGAATGCTTTCTATGGGTCATGTATTAATTCCTCAATCAGATTTACGTTGGTCCAAACAAACTGACGTTGGTATTACACATTTTAGATCTGGTATGAGTCACGATGAAGATCAATTGATTCCCAATCTATATAGGTACATTCAACCATGGGAATCAGAATTTATAGATTCACAGCGTGTTTGGGCAGAATATGCCTTGAAGCGACAAGAGGCAAATACACAGAATCGCCGACTTACTTTAGAAGATTTAGAAGATAGTTGGGATCGTGGTATACCTAGAATCAATACATTATTTCAAAAGGATAGACATACCCTTGCTTATGACAAAGGTTGGAGAATACGTACAGAATTTAAACAATATCAAGTTCTTAAACAAAATCCATTTTGGTGGACCCATCAACGTCATGATGGAAAGTTATGGAATTTAAATAATTATAGGACAGATATGATCCAGGCCCTAGGTGGTGTTGAAGGAATTCTGGAACACACACTTTTCAAAGGAACTTATTTCCCCACATGGGAAGGTCTTTTCTGGGAGAAGGCATCAGGTTTTGAAGAATCAATGAAATATAAAAAATTAACGAATGCTCAAAGGTCGGGTTTGAATCAAATTCCTAACCGTCGTTTTACTTTATGGTGGTCACCCACTATAAACAGAGCAAATGTTTATGTAGGTTTTCAGGTACAATTAGATCTTACAGGAATATTTATGCATGGTAAAATACCAACATTGAAGATATCTCTCATTCAAATTTTCCGTGCTCACTTGTGGCAAAAAGTGCATGAATCAATTGTCATGGATCTTTGTCAAGTATTTGATCAAGAATTGGATGCTCTGGAAATTGAAACTGTACAAAAAGAAACTATACATCCAAGAAAATCATATAAGATGAATTCTTCCTGTGCTGATATTTTACTTTTTTCGGCATACAAATGGAACGTTTCAAGACCATCTTTATTAGCAGATTCTAAAGATCTCATGGATAACACAACGACTCAAAAATATTGGATAGATGTTCAATTGAGATGGGGTGATTATGATTCTCATGATATAGAGAGATATGCAAGGGCTAAATTTTTAGATTATACAACAGATAATATGTCCATTTATCCATCTCCAACGGGTCTTTTAATAGCTATCGATCTAGCTTATAATCTTCATAGTGCATATGGTAATTGGTTTCCAGGATGTAAGCCACTTATACAGCAAGCTATGGCAAAAATAATGAAAGCAAACCCAGCGTTATACGTATTGCGAGAACGTATTAGAAAAGCTCTACAATTATATTCATCAGAACCAACTGAACCATATCTTTCTTCTCAAAATTATGGAGAATTATTTTCAAATCAAATCATTTGGTTCGTCGATGACACTAACGTATATCGAGTAACGATACATAAAACTTTCGAAGGTAATCTGACTACAAAACCAATTAATGGTGCGATTTTCATATTTAATCCAAGAACTGGTCAGTTGTTCTTAAAGATAATTCACACTTCTGTGTGGGCTGGACAAAAGCGTTTAGGACAATTAGCTAAATGGAAAACTGCCGAAGAAGTTGCAGCTCTTATCCGTTCGTTACCAGTAGAAGAACAACCAAAACAAATTATTGTAACGAGAAAGGGAATGTTGGATCCTCTTGAGGTGCATTTACTAGATTTTCCCAATATAGTAATTAAAGGATCAGAACTTCAGTTACCTTTCCAAGCATGCTTAAAGGTTGAGAAGTTTGGTGATCTTATTCTGAAGGCGACTGAACCACAAATGGTTCTCTTTAATCTTTATGACGATTGGTTAAAAACAATTTCCTCTTACACAGCATTTTCACGTTTAATCTTGATTCTTCGAGCGTTACACGTTAATACAGAACGTACTAAGGTTGTACTTAAGCCAGATAAAACAACTATAACAGAACCTCATCACATATGGCCGTCTTTAACTGACGACGAATGGATTAAAGTAGAAGTGCAATTAAAGGATTTGATCTTGGCTGATTATGGAAAGAAGAACAATGTCAATGTTGCGTCTCTGACTCAATCTGAAATCCGAGATATTATTTTAGGTATGGAGATTAGTGCACCCTCTGCGCAACGACAGCAAATTGCAGAAATCGAAAAGCAAACAAAAGAGCAATCTCAACTCACTGCAACTACTACTAGAACGGTTAATAAACACGGTGATGAGATTATTACTGCTACTACATCCAATTATGAAACTCAAACATTCAGTTCTAAAACAGAATGGCGTGTGAGAGCCATATCTGCTACTAATTTACATCTTAGAACTAATCATATATATGTATCTTCCGATGATATCAAAGAAACTGGTTACACATACATTTTACCGAAGAATGTATTGAAAAAATTTGTCACTATCTCGGATTTACGAGCACAAATTGCTGGATACTTATATGGTATTAGCCCACCGGATAATCCTCAAGTTAAAGAGATTAGATGTATAGTAATGGCTCCACAATGGGGCACACATCAAACAGTACATTTACCAAATGCATTACCTAATCATCAATACCTTAAAGAAATGGAGCCATTGGGATGGATACATACACAACCCAATGAATTGCCACAGTTATCACCACAGGTTGGTATTCATTTATTTATTATATTTGAATATATTGTTGATTTATTATTAACGTTTTATTTGCTTTATTTTCTAATAAGGATATCTCGACACACGCACGAATTATGGCGGATAATCCAAATTGGGATGGTGAAAAAACAATTGTCATTACATGCAGTTTTACACCAGGTTCTTGTTCTTTGACGGCTTATAAATTAACTCCAAGGTATGAAAAATTATACTCTATAATAACATATTTTTATATATATATATTTATTAAAATATTTTGATAGTTTTTTTTATATAATTTGTATTTTTATTTCAGTGGATTCGAATGGGGCAAACAGAACACTGACAAGGGAAATAATCCTAAAGGATATCTTCCAAGTCATTACGAGAAAGTACAAATGCTTCTTTCCGATAGATTCCTCGGTTTCTTTATGGTACCTAATCAGGGATCGTGGAATTATAATTTCATGGGTAAATTATCAATTATCTCTTTATTTATATAAAGAAAATATATAAAAATTGTAAATAAAATGATTAAAATTATATATTTTTGTCTAGGTGTGAGACACAATCCAAACACGAAATATGAGTTACAATTAGCTAATCCTAAAGAATTTTATCACGAGGTTCATCGACCGGCACATTTCTTAAACTTTTCTAGTTTGGAAGATGGAGATGGGGTTGGAGCGGATCGTGAAGACATGTTCGCTTAGAATAAATATAATTTCCTCAAATAATATTTCCTTATTTTTTTATTTTTGTTCTTTTCATTTTTTAAGGATACGAATCGATGTAATATTGTTTTGATTTAGTTGTTAGAAACATAATCGTTCAATTCAAAAAATATAATAATAGATTTTATCAGCTTCAATCGATGAGAACGAAACACGATATTTTTTCAAAAATATTTCTTCATTTATCTTATAAACATATTATTACTACTACTACTTTATAGAATGTTGAGATAAATGAAATTATGTCATAGTTAATATGAGTAGTATGTATTTTTAAAAAAATTGTATAAAATTTGTGCTTATAATGCTCTTATATAAAAAAACAAATCAACTACTCCTCGGATTTTTAAAGATAAAGAGAGAAGGAGAGAGAGAGGGAGAGAAAAAATGTACTTTTATTACATCATAAATATTTAAAATAAATGTATAAACTTGATTATTGTATGAAGATAAATGTTTTATAATATACACACGCACACACACATTTCATATTTCATCAATGACATAAACTCGTATGAGTGATAATATGCAAGCGACGGTGACAGTTCAAGTAATAATTCGTGAAAGAAACATACATAGTTAATAAATAATTAGATTAAATATTAAATAAAATTTATCAAAATTTTTATTAATTGGCTGTTCAGGAAAAATCGACTTTTGATTTGATAATAAATTAATGGAAAACGGCGAGAGAAAGAGAATACACACACAATTTGATAAACAAACGATAATAATTAATAATTATAACTAATTAATGTGTATAAATTCGTTGAAATATTATAATGGTTAATTATAATATTTTTACCAGGCACGCATCGAAACCTAAGTGTTTACGATAAGGCGGTCGAACTGTAACTGTCTCGAGTGTTTACATGTTGGAGAAAAAAGTATACATACGTACATAGTTTGATCTTGAAAAATATGATCGATCTTTTAAACGCGCGCGCGCGAGACTATGTAAAACTTAGAGTTTTCACGATTTAACTGAAGTATACAATTTAAATAAGATATACTTATATCTATTTCCTTATGAAAATTTTATGAATATTTTCACTATAAATGTAAGTTCATATCTTAGAATATATAATTGTTATCTATAACATATTCTACTAAAATTTCAATTTTTGTAGAATATTATATCGGTAGAACGATTAATAAAAAACGATTAATATGGTTTGTACGTTACGTAGATAATTTTATGGAATACTTTAAAAGCGTCAGTGATCTTACATTTATTTAATTAACATTAATTTATGGAGATTCGAAGTATATATAATAAAGAATGATATACTTCATACATAAATTGTTATCTAAGCATACGAAATCTATTAAATGAGATCCAAATATTTCTTCTAAGTACAACGTGTCCTTGCTATTAAGTTGATAAAAGCGATAATACATCAATCACTATATCTCTTTTGCATAACTTGTTTATTATTTAATATTTAAAAAGTTGTTTTATATTTGAAACATATATGCTAGTAATATTATTCACTTCTTTTTAATAGAAGTTAATCTCTTCGCAAGTCATATATATCCTCTATTATAATCTCAGGATATATCGTTATTTATAATAAATTAATGAAATTATGAGAAAAAAAAAAATGAAAAAAAAAAATAAATAATGAAATTAAAAGATAATAAGTGCGTGTGAAGAATGTGTATGATTTAAAAAAAAAAACAAAAAGGAAAGTATACTTAACTTCTTTTCCAAAATAAAAATCGTTTCTCATTTCTTAAAGCATGTCGTAGGTCATTTTTTTCTTTCAGAATAAGTGAATGGATGTGATCATCTATATAATCGTACGTTCTTATTAATGAACGTATTATATTAATGTTGATATCATTGTGCATGGATTAATTAAGGACAATCGCTTTCCTCGGCACTTTCTTTACTCAAACGAAATGCTTCGCGTTGAATATTTGCATCGACTTTTTCTTGAAGGGGTAAACCTGTTGTTGTTGTACAAGTAGTACGAGACGCTGAACTATGATAAACGCTACGAGTAAGGCTTCTTGAAAAAAATTTACCATCGCTATATCCAAATCTTTTAAGTAATAAACGCTTAATTTTTTGTTTGCAAACAAGCGTTATGAAAATGATCAAACCCTGTAAAGTATTAATCACATCTGATATATACCAAATATAGTCCCCTGATCCTTCCCATAACGTGGATATGATTTCCGTAGTCCAGGTGATACCCATTACGATGAATAACTTCATATACAGATTGAACCTGTGATCAAACAAAATATATTACTTTATTTATATCGTTATATGCTAATATTCGTGTTCTATAATTTTTATTCTATAATATTTGCCCGTAAAATGTTATGGATGAATGTTATTTAACAAAATCATGACGCATTACCGCCAAGATAATTTCATTGTTGTTACGAATGATTTCGTAATAAGGAAAATAAACTATGGCATGGGAACATCTTCTTGTCGCTTGCCCTATAGCGACGTCTAAAAATAAGCTTTCAATGTTAGTAAGAAAAGATAACCATACCATATTGATGATTCGAACGAGTGTAATCTAGTAAATTCATTTGATATTATTTAAAATATTATTTATAACGATATTAATTATTTTTATATCTAACAATATAAGTGTATAACGTTTAAATAAAAATCATATTTTCTTTATAATATGAACACTCTCTTTCTCTCTCTCTCTCTCTCTCTCTCTATATCTCTATCTCATTTATTAGAAAAAAAAAACTTAATAAAAATAATATTATACAAATATATATATTTTTATGTATTTATATATACCATTGTTTATTATCGTCGTGACGTCTACTTTCACTTCCTCTTAAATGATGGGCCGTATCTTTTGTGTGTTGTCGAATTTTTAAAGCGGTTGAGATAAATAGACATAGATTGCAGACAATTGATATTGTCATAGGCAAAGTAAAATAAATATTCGTCGCACTATTAGCTGAAATAATATTATTCAACATTACACAATTTGCATTAATATATAAAACTATAAATTGTTATTAAATATACTTACTCGTAAACCAACATTTCTTTTCTCCAAGTTGGGGTCGAATTGTATTTTCTGGTATGTTAGGAGCAAAATCCATAATTAAGCATATACTTGTGAAAAACGATGCAATTCCCCAAGCATAGATAGAATATATTATAAATTTTTTTCGATCCCTTTGTTTCATACTGCCCCTCAACGCTCGGAAACCCCTAAAACAAATAAGAAATATATTGTTGATTATAATATATATAAATAAATAACTGATAATTATATATATATAAGTATATTAAAATTGTACATTATTTTTTATTGTCGTTTCAGAATATTTTACATTTTTATATATTTTTTTTTCTTACCTATTATCAACACAAAAAAGAAGGGTATTTGCATAGATACTTATAAATGAATAAATAAACATCCAATGGTAATACTCGATATATACAATAAAAAAGAAAATTGAAAAACAGTTATAGGAAATCGATAGTATCACATGGTTAATACGTGAACGTACCTTGGGGAAATTACGATAGTGTTTAGTTAATCTGAACAAAAGGATGTGTCTCACTTTACAATGATAATGTTTTACTCAACATAAGACATATATATATATATATATATATATATATATGTACATAAATATGGCATATCATGTACGAAATCCATTAAATATTCATTTATGTATTATGTACTCTGAAAGAGTTTTTAATATTTAAGTAAATATTCATTTAATAAAATGCATTTGTTCTAAAAAGAAACTTGTATTATGTTTGTGGTCAATGACTAAAACCTACAATAGGAAGAGTGAGAAAGAGAAAGAGAGAAAAAAATAAAAATTAAAAGAGAAAGAGAGAAAGAGAGAGATAGAGAAAGAGTTTATAGGGCTTGGCAAAATGAATGAGCGTTTAACATGAAACATGTGTGTTAACAAACGTGACTCGATTCTATGTAAAAACTTTAACACCCACGCAGTTTCATTCTTTTACATGGGATAAAACCGAATCGCACTTAAATTAATATCCTTTTTAAACGATTAATTTTTTCGCTAAAATGAAAGGCTTAAATATTCCAAGGGAAAATAATATTTAATCTCCCTAATTATTGTATGTATATATATATGATACAAGATTTAAAAAAAAAATATATATATATATATATAATTAAATTAGGAATATATTATATATGATTTATGTGTGTGATATAAATATTCTTGAAATGATAATTAGACAGAGAGAAAATAATTACGTTAGGGGGGGGGAGATGGTATAATTATAAAATATCGAGTTTGTTTATATTTTTCTGAACTTGTTTTCGTTTTATATCCACTTTCCTTGTGTCCTTCATCGAACACATTTCGAGAAACGAAACGATGTTCGGTCTCGTAGTATTTTGTTTGGATTAAGTGCCGCAATTTCCTCGGTCTACACCCGTTGTGTTTTATAGAGCAGCCTGGTTTGTATAAGCGGGAGAATCGTTTCTTATGGAATCAGAGTAGCGTGACAAAAAAGTCTTTCTTTACTTGGAAAAAACAATTTTATTTCGTTTTGCTATTTTGCTTTTTTTTTTGTTTTTTTTTTTTTTTAGTTTTGTTATTTATCTATCTCAATTATTTTTTCATTAAATTATGTTATACTTGGAACATTCGTAAACCTTCTCCACATCATGTTAATTGAAATAAATCTTATTTATACTTGTAATGCAAAGTTTTACAATTTTTAAAGATAAATATTTTGTATTTTAGGATTATATATTCAATCATCAAATTGATATTAATTTTATTACATAATAACATTCTATTGTTAGAGAAATATAATTTTATTCGAATGATGATATAAAATTGATCTCACGTATGTATTTTGCATCTATACACAAGATGTATAATAAAAATCTTATAATAATTTTCAGACGATTGGATATATTTTGTAAAATCAATTTTTTGTATAAAAGTTATGAAAAAATTTAACTTAATTTAAATACGTTCCTGCGTATAAGAGTTTTTTTTTTTAATCGTTTGAAATTTGTCGATCGATTCGAAAAGAAATATATTAACGAATATTAATTATACTAATAAAAGGAAGAATAAATAACATAAATAAAGATAACAAGACTGTTGTTATCGAATTTCTTAATTGATTGAATATTTTAACCAATATCCCACCCAATTGTCAGTTATTATCGTTAAAAGCATATAATGCGTGAAGTAATCATACAGATAAATCTAAATGAAATTGTTGACATTTAGACTGCGTCTGTGTAATATATATGTGTACTTGTATGTATATTGTGGGTCACGTACGAGATATTAATCCTCCCCTATATACGTCATCTTCAATTTCTCTTCGATGTTTGTTAATTATCAAATTTCTCTATGTCGTTTTACTGGTGCCAGTTGAGAGAATAATTGACGTAAAAATAAAGAACATATACACGTACTCACATATGCATACACACACACACATATATATATATACAACAGACTGATTATACGGGTATACTAGAATAAACTGAAATGTATTTTCTACGATCCCATTGACTTGTGTTAACGAAAAAGCACGCAGCCAAGAAAATTTGTATTCACAAAAGAGAACAATTGAAATTGTTTTAAGTATAGCACGAAAAGCAACGTAAATCATATGCCAAATTCTATTAATTCCGCAAAAAACAAAACGTAGAACATATTGATAAAATAATATATTACATTGTTCATATTATTTATTACTGAACGATCGTCAAAATTGTAATTGTAATTTTATTAAGAAATTATTTTTAATTTAATTTTTTGTTAAATGTATAAAATTAAGTATTGATCAAATGTTTTGATAATTGACATTTTAAAGAGTTATAGAAAGGAAGTTAATATACTCTGATGAGGGCTTTATTATTTTGTTTTTTTACCAAACTGATTCACTCCTTAATTTATTAAATTTTATTAAAAGCATCCCATTATTGGGAAAAAAAATAATAGAAATAAAGAATTTGTAATATGTATGATGAAACGCTGATCACTTACCCAAATGTCCACCAAATGTCAAAACACATGACGTTTAACCAGTAAAAACTTGCCAAAAAGAAGAAATACATGCAGAAAGCTGAAACAGAAAGATAAAATTCGATAAAATTCGTATATTATATTATCATTCTCTCAATCAATCGTTAAAATAGTTTATAAAAATCTTCAAAATAAAAAACAAATGTGATTTATTTCGACATTATTGATGCGATCATTAACGATGTAAAATAACACATTTTATATTGTTATAATGTTAATATATATATTATTAATATATTATGTAAATATATAAATATTTATGTGTCCGAAAAGAAACTTGATTGACAATTGTTATTTCAAAAAATAAAAATATAGATAAAAACAAATAAATAATACAATACCAAAAATGCAACACGAAGTTTGCTTAATGTCTGTCGATGTCTGCACTATCACAAGAAAGAGATAAGAAAAAAAAAGTGTACTAACATAAGAACGTAAACTATAGCCATGCAAATTATTTAATTCTGGTATTATAGAATAAATAATAAATGTTAATACATAACACGGTAACGATATTATTATTCCAATAATAAAAAAAATATTAAGCTTGTGATCCTTCGCTAATATGGGTTCATTTATCTCGGTATTATCATACTCACAGCACTGTATCATATCGTATTTACCATGTTCATAAATACTGAGACAATATTGATCATGATTAACTATTGGTTCGTTTTCTATATAGATCGAACCATTGTGCAAAATAAGAAAAGATTCGTCCACGTAACATTTTTTAGTATTCTTACAAGGAATATCAAAAATAAAATGAAAATTATTATGGTCTACATGTAAATCCGTTAAATTTAAGCTATTGGCATCGTAAACGGGCGGAAATTCGGCAGTCTCGTTGGTTAATAGACACTTTTTATCCAAGAAAGTATAATTCCATTTGCAACATATAGATAACAAAGGTAAAGGATCTAAGCTCGTATTTGTCGATAGATTTTTCTTTAAATTTGACGATTGATTTTTTAACGTTCGAGGAGACGATGACAAATTCGACGAGTGTGATATTCCGATTGTCAAAAAAAAAATATAACAGCACGCGATGACGCTGCTTGTTTTGTAAATTTGAAGACGACCCATCATTCACGAACGTGTTTACTCGTCGACTGATCTGTTTTAGCACTTATAGTACACTAGATAGATTCGAGTTTTACTTTAATCTCCGACGACTATTTAACCGCAAATGCGTCATAATTATGAATCGCGGGGTATAACACGCATTTAATTTTTTCTTAGTTTGATGTTACGCGTTTGAAAATACGTTATTAATATTTAAAAAAAAAAACAAAATAATAAAAATATGTTACAAAGATATATTGGATCGTTCCGTTCCGTTACGTTACGTTAATTTATTATCTTACGTATACAATGAAACTGGATGAAAGATACGAGAAAATATTCGACAACATATTCAATTAAACTTATTCAACAACAAATTTAAATGCTTCGAGTTAATTTTAAATCGTTCGAAGTTATAATCATATATTTCTTTTTTTTTTTTTCATCTACTCAGAAACATCTCAAATCTTATCGTAATTCAATAACTCATAAGTATCAAGTTTTTACGTAAAACTAGTTAATACAATAAACTCTTTATGTGATATATCGAATTTCGCAATATTATATTTGTATTATTTGTCTGATAAAATGAAATGGTATAATTTAACCTACTTATCGTGCTATTGTAATTAGTATTCTAACTATTTTAATACTCATTTATAACTTGAAATGCAAGTTTGATTATCTAAAAATATTCGAACTTAAATCAAAATATTTCTAGTATCTATTTTTAGATCTTGTAACCCATAATAATATCAATATCTAACGTTTCTTCGGAAACATTTTAACGCAATCCTGCAGTTAGAAATCTTTTTCTAATCTAATCTTTTTAATATGAATTTGATATCGTTAAACGTATACAACATTACGTATCTTAAACGTAAAGCACCTTTTTAATGTCTATCTATCGGTTTTTTTTTTTTTTTAAACGTATGATCTATCTGTAATAATTTATCTCTGGATAAAGATTTAAGTGAGATAAATATCATTTTTTTTTTCTTTTCATTTTTAGATGAGTAAAGGAATGGCATTGATAATGAATTTACCAAGAAAAACGCAGCACTTATTCGAGATCCGTTGATCGGATACAATTTGTATCGTAGATAAAATTGCGTATGATACTGTCAACGATGCGATGTATGCACGTAGAATGAATCCATGTAAATTCCTTAATTCCTTGATGATCGTGTAAACCAACCACGTTATTATGAAGAACGGTATAGATATGATCATACCCAACGACATAAGGAACCCAAAAAATATTGACTCTGTATCGAGATCAGTTATTTCTTTTTTGCAAAAGTAAACGAGATATTCGTTCGGAATAAATTTCGTTACAGCAAGACAATACTGTCTTGGATTCAATATTTTCTTGCCCGTATCTACAAAAGGCAAATAGAACGAACCATTTCGTAAAAGGAAGAATCGTTCTTCCGGATAATGAAAAGGATTTAACGGATACTTTTGATCTTCTTTACAAGGATTCCAATACAAGAAACGAAAATTCTTGTCATTTGTGGTAACGTTCATTGGCAATAAATCCATCGTGTAAACTCGTGGTAAAGGCACCGTCCCATTTTCTATCTTTTCGCACTTATTCTTCGAAATAAGGTAATAACCAGGTGGACAACAAAACGAAATACAATTTTTTCCTTGAACGCAATATTTGTTATAATCTTCTTCCGTATTTTTCCTTGGAATTAATTCTTCATTGTACGTTGTATTTTCTTAAAATACAAGAGACATGAGATTTTAATTATCAATAATGGAGATTAATAATCACAATGATGTCCCGTTCATCTCATCGATATTATAGATAATATACTAATTATAAATTACATATATACACACTTCTATTTATTTGGTCGATTTTTTTGGAAAATTTTTTTTTTATCAGTTTCTTGTTAAATAAATTGTCAGTATTTATAATAACGGTAAGATTTCGTTAGGATTACGTATTGACACAGATTATATATCGATGCAAACCGAATAAATAGCAGCCTATATATATATATATTTATATATCTATACACACTATATATTTATCTATACACACGAATAGATTTGAGAATGCATTTTAATCACCCATTAAATTAGATATATTAAAGTTAGTTCCTTCTTTCAGATTTTTATTCTTAAATGTGGTATTTCCGTTGATAGCGTTATACGCGATAAGATTAACATTAGTAATTGAAATCACATTATTCACAGAATCCGATGTTGTATAAAAGTACGCGTAAGATATTACTCTCGTACTTTTTTGAAATAAAATTATCGTCAAAAATATTACGAACTTATTATTGACGAGTGCCATATTTTATTATTATTATTATTATTATTATTATTATTATTATAACTCTAAAAAGAAACGCGTTTAAAGCAATTTGAGAGGTGTTGTCAACGAAAAAACGAGAACAATACTAATCAGAAGAACAATTCTGTCGACCACCACCCTTGTCGTATCGCCGATAACATCCGTTGGGAATTCCGCTTACGATTCCTTCGCTATACTCATAAATAAGAAGAAAAATAAGGTCACGAACGTTGACTATAACGTGTAAAACTTCTTCCAAAGTAATTGAAAATAAAACTCATTGGGACTATTAACAATTAATGAAAAAGAATCATATTGGAAGACATTACAAGTTTATTTTATATACCTAATTGATAACATCTCAAAAGAATTATACGTGTCCGATAATTTCAAGATTGTGTTGAATGTGGAAGAGAGTATGACGAGGTCAACAATGCGTCGGCTATATTCAAATCTATCAATTAATTAAATTTTTGGTACGGATTGATTGAAATTTTGATTCTGTCGTAATATCGATTAAGAAAATTATGACAACAAAAAAATGAATAAGATGTTTAAAACGTTTGTGTGAAATTAATGAGATAAATATAATCTATAGATAAAAAAAATAAATAGGATATATCGAAGTAGGAAAACTAGCATTTAACATATTTATAGTTTTTGTTAAAAATTATCAAAACTATTTACTATCTCTATTACATAAAACAATCCACGGACTATTGTAATTTCAAATGAGAAATAACTACGATATCAAATGCTTTTTTGGTCACATTAACGATATCATTGATAGATTCGTCGTAATCATACTAGCACATGTCTCTATCGTTAATTTTACAATAATGGTAAGATTAATCGTAAGAGAATGATAACAATTTTACAATATGTTCGAAAAAAAAGTAATACGTATTATTTACATCAACGCGATGATATTTCATTCGAAATTTGTGCAATTATTTATAAGATTTTTTATCATTTCATCCGATCCTAATTATATTCTGACTATAAAATATAATAGAAGCACAAATTGACGTATTAATCGATCTTCGTATAGATAAAATTTAGTCCTTCAAAGAATTGGATTAAACGTTTTTAAGAATAGTATGATTATTTTGTTATTATGTGTGTGTAACGAGCACGACGTGTTCGTCGCAAACATGAGTAATTGTTTCCGAGTATTTACCACTAAACATTAGTAAGTATTGATAATTAGAGTCTAATAATTAAAGAAAACATATTTATATATAACAGTGTAACATGTATAATATTGTTAAATAGCAATGTTACGATAAACGTTTAAAAATGTTTACCTGCGGTTAGACATATTTCAGGCGGCAAATACTTGAGTTGTAAATTGATGAGAAAACAATAGGATATCGTGAGACAAGCAACATAACACATTAGAGTTTTTCCATAAATATTTCGAAGTTCTGGTATGATGGCATAAACTATAAAAGTTATGATCAGAAAAGGTATGGACACTATCGTCATGATCGGATAGATCCTTTGTCTTGTAGGTAACACTGATTGTTCTTCTGGTTGAAAACAAATTAAAACGGTTATCTTCTTCAACGATTCGTGCCAATCTATACAAAAATTCCATTGCGGATAAATAATTGATCCAACATGAAGGGTACCATTGGCTTCGAAAATAAACTTATCTTCTTCGAAGTTTTCCGGTTCTAATTTATAACTTTTATTTGGACAGAAATTATTTTGCAAAAGAATATAATGATCGGCAATATTCTTTATATGTTGTATTTCAGATGTAAATTGTTCTTTATCTGCTTTTATATCGGGAAGAACCGTACGATTTTGTATCTTCTTACATCTGGCGATTTCACCGTCGCTTAAAACCTCCCCATCTCGACAGCATTTTCTCATGCAAGGTCGTAACTCACAGACACATCCACGTATGGAATTATTTTGGATCCAATAGAGATTGGTAGGATATAATGTACCATCGTGAAAAATAGAACCATTCTTGTATCTTTGAATGTTGTCCTTTTCTAAGGGAACCGTTAATGAATAATGACAAGGTAAATCTTCGGGACGCGTTGGTACTGTTTGAATAACAAAAATATATACTAAAATTAAAATTTTTATCCACGATCCCATTAGAACGAGAGAGTTGTGAAGAAAAAAAAAAAAGAAAAAAAGGAAGAAAATGAAATATAAAAAAAACGAAAACAAAAAACAGGGGAAAAAAAGGTGAGCACAAATTTTTTTCGGAATGCGAAAATAAAACAAAGAGATACCCTTAATAATATTAATAATAATAATAATAATAATAATAATAAAAAGAAGCGCGTCTCGAAGGATCACCTTCTAACTGTCCCTGTGTTTTGTTATATCCTATTTATTATATCCTAATTTTTATTCTGATCTAGTATTTCACCGGTGCACGTAGCCGACCCACACTCGACGCGGACGACTCGTTGCTAACTGCGGACGACAGCTGTCTCTCCACATTCGCACTCATTTTTACTTCCACCTCACCTCTTGGACTAACTTCTTGCTATATCATACAGGTTTTTCGATTATTCCTCGAGGAATAATTATGTGTTCTCTTTACGTTTATTCTAAACTTTACTATATTATTTAAAACGTTTTATTTAAAGAGAAATGTGTTTCTATGATTTGATAGAAAACTTATTACTTTTTTCAATTTAGTCGAAATTTTATTAAATATATAACTCTTCTTTTAAATTTGACTATTATCGTACAATTTAAATTTATTTAAAACTTTAATCTAATATTTCTATCTCATAATAATTGATCGTTAATTCATCTTTTTTAAAAATCCTGATCACTTTTGTCTCGTTCCAAAACGATTCAATTTTTTTCCACGTGTTTATACTTCTCCTCTTGTTTTATAAATAAAACTTAAATTATTCAATCTAATATATTTATATATATATATATATATAAATCTGATAAAACGATATATATTTTAAATATAATAAACATATCTTACATTTTTTCCGCGAATTATTTCAAATATTTATCTTAAACAGGATAAAAAATGGCGGGAATTTATCGATATCTACTCGCTTCATTTATCTATGATATTTTTAGATACTATACATATACGTATATATATATATATATTATTTTTATTTCTTAAAAAATAAATATAAAATAAATGAAGTTATTGTAAAAAGGTATAATCATTTATAATATCTCTTTTAAATTATCTTTTTAAATAAGTTTTATATCTCGAATGTAATCGAAAATGAAACATTGCGATTAGTTATATTTGCGCCATCTGATGAGAAATATCATAAGCTGTTACATCACACGATGAAAGTTGTATAAACAGTAATGCTATCCCCTTATGACAGTTGTCGTCCGAGGGGCCACAGGGGAAAGAAGAATAGTACGTTTTTCTCCATTTATCCCCACTTTTAACGCTTTTTTTGACAAAGTCGTAAGATCTCTATATTTATAGTGGGCATACTAATATTTTACAGTCAACCATTGATAAAACAACATTTAACAACTACGACAATGCCTTTATTTATCTATCCAATTTTTTTTTAAACGTGTTCCTCTTTTTTCATTGATGAATCGAGTTAGTAGTTGTGATCCTAACACAATAAAAAAAATATGTGTGATATAGAATTACGTCAAGTAAGAGTGGAAAAGAGGCCGGGCTTTCTAACCAATGAGACACGCAGAAGATTTTTGTAAACGGATACCAATTGGTCACAAACGAACAGTACATTCTTATATAGGCGAAAACAATATATTAGAAGCATTTATTCGCGAAAGTTTGCATTTATAACATCATCACGCTGTCTCACTTCTGTTTCAATATATAAAAAGTAAGTTTTATCGTTATAATTTATCCAAATTCAAACATAATAGACACGTTTAACTATTCGATCTGAACTTGACAAAGTCTAACAATTAAGTAATATATTATGTTCCGTATGTAATATCAATTGCCACAATTAAACAATACCAATAATATAAAAATCATAACAATTACATATATTAACATAAGGTTTATACATACACATATTTATATATACGTAACTATAGTAAAAAAGATATAATATGAACTTACACATAGTATAAATTATTAAGTTATGATCGATGTAATAAAGTAATTGTTATTGACAAATAATGTATGCTCATTTTAAATAGAAACAAATAAATCTTTTTTTATTTAATGTACTATTTTTCAAGTTCCTTCATTATTTTTTATAATAATATTTTTTTTTTTTTTTTTTAATAGTTTTTAGTAGAACAATTCCAAATATACAATAGTATCTATATTCATGCGACATGTGGTAATACATATACATATATATCGTTAAATAATCAAAGTAAATAAAGTTATACAACTTATGTATAATTTGTTAACAAAAAATTTCTTTCATTTTCGATACGAGAACATTGCGCTGCATATTTGCAACTTATATTTTTACGTTATTTTTATATTACTTGTACATTTCAATTAATATAATTTTATGGTACATAAACGTTCTTATCGATCATTTTCGTTGCAATTTTTAATATTAAAAAATATATCTACAAAAAATTTACGTGTGCATAAAATTAAACATTTATAGATTTTTTTGATATACCTATTTTTGTTCTTTTATGTAATATAATAATATTGAATAATATTTAAATATTTGATTTTTATTCTTTCGATATGTTTAATATAATTCTTATGAATGCGTTTCAACATACATGCCCCACATATATACTTTTTAAACAAATAAAGAGAGGTATACGTTTATATAATTATGTAGACGTGGACACTTTGAATTATGTACATGTAATATATGTTACGATTTATTAAATTAGATAGAAAAGATTTTCCTTTGGAAAATATTATAATAATTTATCTTCAATTTCCGTAAAAAGCTGATTTCACCGATTACGTAAAAGAGTGAGGTTTTTAATGTAAACACACGCACACGCACATACCACATATGTATATTCAACATGTGACGAAGTCAATCACCGCTTATCTTTAGTAATATGTACATACAAAGTATAAAAAGTCCCTAATAAGATTGTTCTTATCATTTAATATTATTTTTATCGATCACAAAATTTTTGATTAATATCTCTATAATATATAAATTAAAAAAATAAATATATATCTATATGTTTAAGTTGAGTGTGTCGTGTGCGTAAGTGTGTAATACGATATGTCGAGGATTATTCGCCAGTTTACACGTAAATATATAATTATTTTATATTTTTCATCCTTTTTTTTTTTGTAATTCAAATTAAAATATTCCTTATATATATAAAAATCCAATATAATAATATAAATTTATAATATATATTGTCACATCGTTAATTTTGTTCTTTTTTGTAATTCATATACATTTGTTTCTTTTTTTCTTTTGGTTTTAAAAATATTTTAATTATTAATACGAAATTTTTTTATTTCCACACGTCATGTCATTCTTACGAAATATTACTCTAAATTTTCATATTATTTTTCGTTTGATATGCGTATTATGTGCAATGATCTATCGACATTTCATAATATAGACACACAAACATATTTTGTAATAAACGGTATAATCAATGGTTGTAGTTAAGTTGAGAAGGTCACGATACTTGTGTGTGATAAGAATAAATGTACATTTTGTTAATATGTATATTACATGTATAATTGCTTATAACAAAAATATTTATTTAAACAAAATTATGATTAAATAATATAACAATTATATAATATTAATATATTGTATATACATATATAATACATTTATTCGTATGTTCATATAATACATTTTTTTAATATCGTTATTACATTAATTTAAAAAAATAGTGACACAAATGGCAAATGTAGAAGAAGTCAAAACTATTTGGAGAATTGCGGATGCAATAACTTTTGATGTTGATTCTACTGTTATTAAAGATGAAGGCATAGATGAACTTGCTAAATTTTGTGGGAAAGGCAAACAAGTTACAGAATTGTAAATATATTTTATATTATTCTTTTATCAATCTATTGTCTACGCAAAACAAAGGACATATATTAAAACTTAATTATGTTTAACAAATAAATTTTATATTATAATGCATTATTTTAGAACGAAGCAAGCGATGCAAGGAAATATGACATTTCAACAATCTCTTTCAGTAAGATTGGGTATTATAAGACCTAGTTTATCACAAATTAAAGAATTTATACAAGTACATCCTCCACAGCTTACTCCAGGAATAAAGTAATATGCTTTTTTGAAATATTATTATATATAACTGTTAGACATTTTTTATAATAAATCTAATTGAGACATATAAATATTGCAGAAATTTGATAAAAACATTGCATTTACACAAAAAGGAAGTATTTCTTGTTTCTGGTGGATTTCATTGTTTAATACGTTCAGTTGCGGAACAACTTGATATACCGACTGAAAATGTTTTTGCTAATAGACTTAAATTTTACTTTACGGGTTAGTATTTCTTCTTCTTTTTTTTTTTTTTTTTTTTTTGAAGGAAATAATAATTTAAAATTCAAAGTATCGAAGATAATAAAACTAAACACACTAATAAAATTTAGGAGATTATGCAGGATTTGATGAAAATGAACCAACATCGAAAAGTGGTGGAAAAACAGAAGTTATTCGTTTTCTGAAAGAAGAAAAAGGGNTTAATACGTTCAGTTGCGGAACAACTTGATATACCGACTGAAAATGTTTTTGCTAATAGACTTAAATTTTACTTTACGGGTTAGTATTTCTTCTTTTTTTTTTTTTTTTATAAAAGATAATAATTAAAAGAAAGAATTAAAAATAAAAGTGAAGAATGTTTTATATTTAGGAGATTATGCAGGATTTGATGAAAATGAACCAACATCGAAAAGTGGTGGAAAAACAGAAGTTATTCGTTTTCTGAAAGAAGAAAAAGGGTTTAAAACAATTGTTCATGTTGGAGATGGGGCAACGGATTTAGAAGCTTCTCCTCCAGCAGATGCATTTATAGGTATGCATACTTATTGTAAATATAATAAAAAATGTTATATACAGAGTTATTCGGTTCAGAAATAATCATAATATTTATAACTATTTTATGTACACTGTGATGTTTATATATTTATAGGATGTAACAGAACATGTGGGGTCCACCCACTTCGAGTGCTTATTGTACATCTAAAAATAATAAAAAGAGTTCCTATAAACACATGCTCTATCTTTCTTCGTTTATGAGATATAATGTATTTTGTAAACAGAGTAATCTTCGTCTCTAAACCATTTTAAGTACTAAGTACTAAGGTTCAGAACAAGCTTTTCAACATTCTGAAACCATTCAGATTAATCGGATTTATAACAAAATACTTAGAAGCTTGTATTAAAATGCGATATGGTCATTTTAAGTATCTTCTATAAAGATTATTAGATAACACGAAATCAAAACAAAATTCGTATATCTCATGAATGAAGACAGATAGAGCATATGTTCGTATGAATTTTTTTCATTATTTTTAGATGTACAACGATCATCTCCCGAAGTGGATTCCACATGTTCTATTACATCCTATATATATATATGAAATTTTTACTTTAATTTATAGGTTTTGGAGGAAATGTGATTAGAGAAACTGTTAAATTAAATTCAAAATGGTTTGTTACAAACTTTGATGAACTTATAAATAATTTGTAATTTTAGATAGGATAACAATAATTTGTACAAATGTAACGCAATTAAATTATTTTTATATGAGTTATAGACGAAATATTGATTAATCCAATTATTTATAATATTAAGTAAAAATATCGTAATACAGTTTTTATTTTACATTATATTGTTTTAAAATTTCTCAAAATTTTATTTTATATATATTTAAGTATATTTCTGTTATTTATATTTAAAGCTAGACATCGACTTTATTCTGAACATTACACACGAAAAGAAGTAATATATTTGTACTTTATACTAAGAAAATAACATTATAAAATTTGTAATAAATTTTCCGCTTTTTTATTCGATATCCATTGCTGTATTTTATTTTTTAATTCTGTATTAGGTTTTATCATATCCATAGTAAGAGGAGAACGATTGAATGGATCTGTCTGATCACTCAGTAAGTGCCTAGAACAAAAGTATAAAATTATTATATCCATATATATTATTGTCAAAACTATTATAAATATCATTTATTAAAAATCAACCTGGCAATGGTTCGTCGATCAATAGTTATTTTTGACGAAGGCAAAATAACTGGATCGATCATAAGGGTTGACATAATAGGATCGAGAAATTCTTCTGGAGCTTCTGTTAGAATTTCATCTTCTTTTCTTTTTATAGTAGCAGCTTTTTCCACATTTTTGGCAAATTGATTTAATTCTCCTAGGATATCAAAGCCTCCTATTCGAACTACAATGAAAAATTATATTATAAATGATCAAAGTTAAACTATTTTAGAAATAAATAACTTATGAAAAATAGAAAAAAAGAAATAATATCTTACGAAGCACTTGATCTGCTGATTTAAAAAGTTTCGGGCTATAAGAACGACCGTCTTGAGATACGGCCAATGTAAATGACTTGTTTTCACTCAAATTGACATAGATTTTACATATATCTAACACCAAATTCGCTGGTTCAAATCCATATTCATCTTGATCATCGACCTTTGACAAAAAAAAATAATTAATATTACATAATATTATAATAATAAATCTTTATATTCTACATAAATTTTAAGACCTTAAAATAAATAAAGTACCTTAAGCTTGTTTTTATCAGGCCCAACTAATTGCAATAGTAAATAATTAAGCATCGAAGCTATCCGATCTACCATTGTTGGATGACAAAAAATAGATTTTATTTCAGACGTTAACATTTTTATCGTCTGTATAGTTTTTCTGCCTAAGATATTATCAAATTGTGCAATCGTGCCTACGTGATGAAGGAAATTTCTTTGTTGAATACGTTCGTTTGGAGGTAATTTATCCCATTCTCCATTATCCCTTAAAAATTATGTAAATAGTATTATTTGGTAATAATTATATTAATATCTGTATAAAATATAGTTAAATCTTTTCATAGTAAATATTCCACATTAACCAACCTTGCTTGAATCATTTTCCTTAACTGTGCCATATTAGAAAGAGCTTCGTCTAACAAAAAAACAGCATCATTCATCAAAAGATTGATAAATCGTAGAAACAAAGGTGGACGCACAGCTTCCATATTGGCTTCAGCATCTTTAGCTAAAGCACTATAATTATATAGAAAAAAAAAAAGGATTTTAGTAATTAATAATATTAAGTTTCAGATATACAAATATATTACATCTTATCTTTAATTTAACTTACATAAATTTCTTACGGTGTCCAGGTAGTTCCCACAAATAATGCATAATAGTATACATAGGTCGACGATAATTAAACTTTTGTTCAAATTGTACACTTTGCCCAGTCATTTCAATACTAACGAATACTTGAAGTAATTGAGCAACTATCTGTATTAAACAATAAGGGGATACCATTACTGTGAAATCGAATTTATTAATTTATACCTTATAAAGATTAATTACTGACTTGATGAACATGTTTGTGCGTTTTGAATAATTGTTGCCTATGGAATGCTCTCAGAGGAAGATCCTCGTCGGAAGGAGGTAAAAGTGCTCCTAATCCTTCGGCTAATCGTGCACGTAGATGAGGATTATAAAGACGATGCTCATCCATTAATAATATTAGCTATGACAATAAATTATTTCATTTCAACTTATAATTAAAAAGTATAAAATGTTATTATTAATAACTTACTTCTGTCATTATTGGATTTAAAAAGGTTTCTCCTTGTTCTTCGAAAGTATCTGTGCTGAATTCTCGTAAAACACATAAGAATCCAACTGTATGTTCCACAATAAATTCAGGAATGCATCTGTTATAATATATAATAATTAGAAAATATTATATTATATTAGGATATGTATAAAAACGGTAACAAAATTATACGAACATATAAATATATATTATACATTATACCTTAAAGTAATTGGAACTTTCTCTGACAAAGGGAAATTGAGGTGTCTATGCAGTTTTGGTATATAATCATCGTGACTATCTTCTCCGTGTAATTCGTATACATTATCTAAATTTACTTGTATTATCCAATGTGCTGTAGTCGCATAGAATTTGGCTAGATTATTCAACATTTTAGGAGGACATAGACTGGCTTTTAAAGTCAAGTATCTATAATATAAATTTTCAATTTTATGATGGGAACTTTTTTATACGAACTAAAAAAATTAATTTCTTATTATTAAAATTTACTTTGTCATCTCTACTTCCATTTGTTGAGCAATCATTCTATTAAAACTTCGATTAATAGGAGCATCACGCGAATCTTGAAACCTTTGTTGAACAAGAGATAAATCTTGTTGCGCTCTGCAATTTTAATAATACAAAATATTAACAATTTGTTTTTATAAGAAATCAAAGTATTATCACTTACCTTTGAAGTTTTTCTATAACAATTCTATATCCAAGATCCAAAGCACGATGTGTTAAAAAGAAACACTCCGTTGTAAAAGAAAATAACTTTGATACTGGCCTTACTTGACCTTCTGGTGTTGGTATCAAACAAGTTTCTTGGGATAATCCTTTTATATGTAAACCACGATTACGACTTTCATCTTCATCTGCAGGCTATAATTTGTTTTTATTTTAAAAACTATTTATTAAACTAGAACTGTGTATTTAGTATACAAACCTCAGCTGCACAATATGTTGGATCGATTTTAGGAAACTTCATCTCCTTAGCTTGAACGCAAAACGGTTGACAGAGTTGCAATAACATACCTCCAAAATTCAACATAAATCCATCTGATGCGTTTAATGATGGACCAAAATTAATCTCATTATGAGAATTCCAAAGCTTTCCTCTACTTGCATTCGCATGAAGGCAATCTCCTATCCATTGTAAAGTCATATGACGAATTTCTGGAGACAATTTCAACAACGAATGGAAAATGTGTTCTACAGAATCAGTTAACGCGTCCAAAGCTACCCATATGTTAGATCTAACTGGATCAGAAGGCTAAAAACAGATAAATTTAAAAATAAGAAAAATACAATAAACATTTAATCATGATAATAAGATAAAAATAATTTACCTCAAATGACTTAGAGAAAAAATCAGTTCGTGGATTTACTGCTTTTGATAAACAATTCAAACAGAAAAATGCACCGAACAATGTTTTTTCATAATCTTTACCTTGATTAGACTTTGGTTTATTATATTCTAAAAGTAATTTAGCTAAAGATTCATGATTGCAGAACATATTAAGAATAGTGAACCAATGTTCACGAAATCCTACAAGAGTGCTTTGAGCAGCTTCTTGGTGAATAATATTAAGGATAGGAGTAAAAGATATTTTAATAACTTCCTCAAATGTATCTTCATTTGATGAGCATATTTCTGATACTAGGCCTTTAAAAAATTCAGATAAATCAGCTGAATCTTCCATAAACAAGCTGACGAATTGGTAATAAACCTAAATAATAAAGTATAGAAATAATATAGTTTTTATTTATCAGTCTAGAATATAGAATAACAAATTTAATAAGTTATATAAAGAAAAAGTATATATATATATATAAGTACATACGTCTTGATCATCGAATAAATTTGGCTCTTGTAATGCTATACCAACATGTCTCAATACAATAAGTTTTAAATTATCAATATAATCGAATAATTCTTTATTATCCTCATAATTTTTCAAACGACGAAAACTTTCGTAAAGATAAAATATAACTTGGGTCTCAACAACATGACTATCGAAACTATTAGAATGTTCATTTTGGATTAGATTAATCTTTGGACTAGGCATCACTATTCTTTCAAAAATAGCATCTTCTATAGAATCAGCAGCTACTGATACCAAATCTTTATGTATTTTTATTATTTCATTCGAATTTAATATCAAACCAAATACATCTGCCATAAGTTTGGCTTTCCTTAATTTGACTTGATACTCATCAGATACTTCATTAGTTAATAATTCTTTATCCTTGTCATGATTCTCTTCGATACATTGTTTCTCATTTTTACCATTGCTTGCTTCACTAGCTTGTATTGAATACAACACAGCATCATCAATGGTAGAAAATAATCCAGCAAAAGGATTATAATTTACATGATCACTCATGATTACAACAATATAATTCTATACAAGTAACAAACTTAATCATTTCGTAATCAAACGTTATTGATAGATTGTCATACTGTTATTCGGATGATTATTAAAATACATGATAAAATATGTTCAAGTAACACGATCACACACGGTTTACAAAAAATTCTAGAAAAATGTTAATAATCCAATTTGACGTTGACGTATGTTCGTTCTTTCCGATAAAACCACCATGACTCTCCTAATTTGTTACTGACCTTAAACTTTCAACGTAAATAATTCATGTAGTAACTTTACATTCACTAGATGTCGTAGAGTGTCGGTAAAATGATTTTTATATAAATATATATATATAGATACTTCGCATATAACTATACTACAGAGGACATATTGACAACTTCTGTGGTTTTATAACGATAGAACTGTCATCTGATGGTGAAATAGAAAACTTTGTATCAGGAAACGTTGCATTGAAGAATCAAGAAGATATGCAACATTGCATATCAAAATTGCATTCTCAAAATTTCGTCTAAGAAATGAATTTATTATGCGACTATAGTTGAAAATATACGATAATGATGCAGACTTTTCCTTTTTTTTTTATTTAGATTCTCTCATTAAGATATAAATAATAATTATATTTAATATTAAAAAATTTACATATTATACTTGAATAATCTCAACATTTGTTATATATTTTGTAATATAAATTATTTATTTACATTCATGGGAACATAAGAATTCATATAAATATATACAACTACATACACACACGTGACACATACACGCATTTCTTATTAAAAAGATACTGTATTAGAGTAGCGTTATATTTATAATTGTTAGATTATCTTTGGATTTTAAGGGATCAATTTTTTAACAATGTATGATTAAAATTTAAAAGAAAGAAAATAGGGGAAAAAAATTATATGTTATACAAGTACATTAGATTATCATAAATCCATGAAACTTTGATATAGTATTAAATCACACTAATAAATATAATTGTTTACTTTTTTTTTCCTACTGATTAACCCTTTGACCATGAAATGCTCTAAGTTGATACACTTTACATGAGTTGCGATCGCTGAAGGCGTAATATTATACTTTTTATCAGCAAATCGAAATGAAACATTCTCATTTACAATGTATATTGTTGTTTCACAAATATTCAAGTATTAAAACGCCATAACTTGCATGTTCGGATATATAAGATAGAAAATATCTTTGAATACACATACGCGTTCAAAGAAATTATTCACATTGCAGACATACTAATGTTTGAATGCAAACCGAGTATTGAATTATTCTTGCATTTTGAACTCATTAAGCAGTCTGAAAATTACAAGTGGCCACTAGTCATTGGATTTACTGGCTTATTTGGTGGGAAGAAGCTCTAGAAAAGGTATGACATCTTTCATAGAAGAACACCAGAGAGTGGACAATCAGACATCAACCCTAATACTAGAGGAAATGAGCACTTTTCTGGACGAAGAGTCCTAGACACAACCTGAGATAGAATCAGGAACCCGTAGTAATTCAGTTCTTAATTAGCCTTTACGGAAGTCATCTTAAGCCGAGTCTTATTAGAGAGTAATTTGTTTTGTGCCTTATATGAGGAGTCTTCATGAGATCATGCCCTAATCGGGATCATTTTAATCTTAGATGTGGAACGTACCTCATCAGAGGAGTTATTGGAAATCGTGATCTAATAGGGCACTAAACTTTAAGTGTTATGCGTGCCTCAGCATATGTTAAAGTGTTTCCCTTACGTTTGAATTTGATCTAGTTTTCTTAATCGTCTCACATCGATAGCCTTCGCTGAACGCATATATTCGTCCATAGCAATCAAAGAGTTAATAACGTACTACGTTGTTTATTATGCGTATCATAAAACACTATACCATCCGGTGACATTACGTTGGTATCACGTGAAAATTATTGGACAAATGCCGCCTTAAGATAAAAGAATTTTGAACATAAGTTCGACCGTCAAATTGATAATATGCTGTTTCTCTCAAATATCACATAGACATTAATTTTAAATTTCAGTTGTGAAATATAAAATTGAGAAAACAATTAAAATTTATATACAATAATTATTATTGTATAATACGTGGAGTTAAAAAGTATGTATCATCATAATAATGATGATTCGATAATTAAAAGAAATGTTTCATTTCTAATGGTTTCGATAAACGCTAAAACCAGAAAATTGCCACCGCCTTTCCATATTTGCTCCAATTCCAAATAATTCTTGTTTGAAAACTTGTGGAAATCTTTGCATTAAAACTTCTACTTCATTTGGTTTGATTCCTGGTTCTAATTTTTGTAAATATGACCATAGATAATCCACACTTGCACCAAATGGATGAATATGCAAAAAGGTAGCTATCAAACCTACGTTCATTATAAGAGTATACATTTAATTTTACAGTAATATCGTATAATATAAATGAAAAGAGAGGGAATAATTTTTTACCTATAAGTTTGGCATCTTTTTGTGTAACTTGTACAAAATTAGATGCTAAAATTAATTGTTTAGGTGTTCGAGGTTCTTCACTAATATCATCATCTTTATCAAGAGTTATTATTTCACTCTCTCGAGGTTCTTCTCTTTTGGTGGCATTAAGTTTGACAGTCAAATCTTTTATTTTTTGATCATCTTGTGCTTGTTGCTTTCTAAACTGTAATAGTTGTTCCTGCATACCTTTTAATGTTTGTTGCAACATTTTCATTTGTTTATCTTTTGCATCAATATCTGACTTTGTTTCTGACTTCAATAAATCAACCTGAAAAAATAAATATTTTCATAATATTAAAATGAGCAAAAATGTTGTATACATATGCTTAGAGTTATCTAGTTATAAATAAATACAATTTTACAATTTTTATACCTCATTTTTATATGCTTCCAGCTGACATCTTAAACTATCATTTTCTTCTTTTAAAGATTGCATTTTTTCACTATCATCATTATTATCAGATTGAATACGTGTTTTTTTCCTCTGTGGTTCTTCTTCGCAATCAGAGACATCCATTTCACCTTCCCCTTCCATAAGAGTTTCTTCTAATTGAACTGCTTTAATTTCCTATTATGTCAAAATTATTAAATTGGTAGAAGTTAAAATAAATTAATATTTACACAGAATCATGCATAATATGCTGTTTTTTGGATCAGCACGGGTTGTCATTTTACAAAATAATGACTTTTTTCTAATATGCATTGTTATAATTGACATACAATGCTTGGAACATATAAAAATATAAAGCTACATTTTCTGTAATTCAAAGCTTGCATGATAGTATATTCAATCGATAGAAAATATTAAATGAGTGGGGAGTTTTCTTTTGTTCATTTTGAGAGATTGATATATGTTTGAAGTACAGAAATAAAATATGTATGTATAAGAAATAATATTTTTGAGAGAAAACTCATTTTTAATAACATGAATTCTTCATGAATCCATGCCGGTCATTTAATGATCTATTTCCTGTTACTAAGATCATTAGATCTTGATTACCTGTTATTTCCAATGGGTATTTGCCCTACTTACGTAGCTCAAATTATGCATTACCTTTCTCATTAGCGTTTTTTTCCAACAAAAGTTTAAAATTGTTGCGTGCAGAAAGCATGTGTCTGACCATTTTATGAAGCATTTTCCTTTTTTTTTTTTTTTTATACTTACCTGCATATTCGAAAAATAGTTTTGCAAAATGAGCGTGCTTGGCTTATGATAGGAATCATGCAATTGCACAAATAAGCAATATGTAAAATAATAAATTCTTAATCAAGGTTGCTGTCAATTATTCATAAAAGAAAAATATTGGACACTCTGCTGGTGTGGGAATGCACATACATACCGAAGATTGTTTCTTCCACATTTCGATGTTCTTCCGTTGAGCCTTAGTGAAATGATCCCACACCTTCTTGTGGCTAGCCGCAGTAAAGACACGTTCGATCTGACTGACTGTTGATGACATGGATGTCGCATGTTGCATACAAAAACACAACAAATCTTCTGTTGTACACCTTTTTTCAAACTCTACATTTGTTTTTGGACTATAAATATACTCTCCCTTTCTTCCTCTCTCTCTCTCTCACTCTGTCATTCTCACTTTCTCTTATTTTATATATATACTTGCTTAAATTCTGCAGGTATGTGACCAAATCTGACAAAAGTACTTTTCTAGAATTTTTAAATATTTTAACTATACCTCTAATTCAGCACAATTTATATGTACTTATAGGTATTCTTGATGATAGTCCTTTCAAATTCATATATATCATGCTAAGCTTCAGTCAGTATAGTTTGTAGATGTAAACGACTAATCTTAATAAACACATTTATATTTAATTATATTATTTCTTAATTCCTTTCACACCTTGTACCTCTGCTGCCAATATCTATTTCAAAGTTGATTGGACAAACAGTGCTTATATTCAACAAGAAAATATGCATTATTTGTCATATAATTTATGCCTAATGACTTACAATCTGCGGAGGTTTCCAATGTACAAGACAATTTTAAAATGTATTTGTTTTATCTTAACAAAAAAATAAAAGAAAAAATATATATATTGTTTGAGTATTTATAACATATGCATAGTTATTTACTGTTTATTTTAATTTAATATAAATATATATATAATATTTAAAAAATTTTAAGTAAAGGACATTATAAAAAATAGCAATTTAAAATTGTCCTTACTATGAGAATATAGCCCATCACCCTTAATTCTTAGCATTGGCAAGCATGCAACTTCTCAGTACACTATGTTTCTATTAGATGAACATTATGATGAACTGTGCACATTGGTTATAATTATCAGAGTCTGAATCGAAAGACAGCATTCGTCACCCACCTTATGCACTCCTATTTTCTTTGTCCTCCCTATCAAGTCGTCCCTGAATGTGCATTGACCATAGTAGAAATGATTGTTACTTAATGATGTAATCAAACTTGAATATGTTTTAAAACAAGATTATTATAGAATAATAATTGATTATTTGCGCCTCTTCTAATTTCGATAATATTACCTTGAAATATTTTATACATTTTAAATTATTTTTTGATTTTAAGATATGTATATTTACAATATATATGTTACCATTAAAACATGAAAGCCATTAATTCATAAAATAACCGACTAAACCATAAAATAACTACACTGACCTATCAAAATATGAGATTAAGATTTGATCCGTTTTTAAGTTAGCTTTCGTTTCTACAACAATGCTCATAATTATCTGTTCCTACCTCTTCTTGTACTTTAAAAGCAAATACTCTGTTCTATCAACCTTTACTTTATCACGTTAACTAGACACCTAACGTTATTTCATTTAATATCTAGTTACATTATAAAGAAATTAGTTCAAATATATAACATAATTCTTTTTATATGCTTTCCCTAAAATCCCTAATTATTTCATATAAATACCAAGTTATCTCATAAATTAACTGAATTATACACTTTAACGGTAACATATGTATTTGATTAACTGGAAAAATATGAGACATACCTTTGCTTATACCTGGATAATATACTAAACAAATTTGCTATTTACCACATTATAATGTGTAATATTTGCTTTAATGATAAAAAAAAAGAAGGAAATATATGCTTTCATTATATATCGACCAAATCGTTGTTATAATGATTTGGAATTTGTTGGTAAGATCCAAATTGGATGAGGATAGGAACTCGTTTAGATTTATCACAACAATAAACTTACCAGATAAAGCGACACATGTACGCAGTATACTTCTGCATACAAAGTTAAATGTACAATAGTAGAGACCCACATGACAAAATAAGAAGAAATTATACACGTACACTGTATGAGCAATCCTTGCATTCTGCCTTTCATGACTTCCTTTGCTTTTTGCAGTTCTTCTTCATATGCAGCTTTTTCCGTGAGTAATCGCCGAACGTGAGAATTTGTTGATTGTATCATTGAGTAAAAGGTATTGGCATTGCGTTTTGTACAATCTCCACGCTCGAGCCATGTTACAACAACCTGTAAATAAATAATGAAAAATATAGGATCACACCAATATTTTTATATATGCTTATTTTGTTAGTAATTTTGGGATATAGGACTAAATAATAAAAATATAAAGACTTACTTGTACAGCTTTCATAAAAGTGTCATCCTGTTTGATTTTCTCACATATGTTTGAAGCTTCATGATCTGTATAATGGACAACAGGCGGTGGACTTGATGGTGGACGCTGACGTTCCTTTTCTACTCTCTCTCGATGACGCTGTTCTCGTTGTAATTGCCGTTGCCTGCACTCCCATTCGTATTGATCATCTCTTGCCTATTACACATATTGCACATGTATTATACAACATACAAATATGAAATGAAAATAAATGTAAAATAAAATAATATTATTAACGTACTTGTGCAAAATCTACATGAAGTCTTCCAGTATTAGCTGAATCTCCATTAGAACCTATTCTTACTCTGTAACCAGATAGATAAATAGCAGCGTCGACACTAGCTTCCAAAACAAAACGTATATGACAAAAATTCTTTTTAGATAAACGTAAAGTAGTTATTTCACCACATCGTTCAAATATTTCTTGAATAATTGTCTCTGTCATGTTTTCTGGCAAACCTATGAATATATTAAACTTTAAGAATATATTTAGTGATACATTAAAGAATCAAAAATTTATATCAATAAAAGTTAAAATAATAAGATATAAGATATGTACCTCCAACAAAAATAGTTCTACATCCTGGAGGTCTTTCTCTTGTAGTTGGCGGTGGTGCATTTGGATTTGGCGGAAGCAATGTACAACTTTTGCAATGTATAATGTCCTTAGTACCTTGCGGTGGAGCAGATGGTGGTGGCAATGCGCCAGTCATTATTTGAGCAGCTGTATCTGTCATGATTTGTTCAGGTCCTAATATTGGAGTACCTATCATACCACTATCATGTGGCATTATTCCCATACTCATTGGACCATAACCATGAGCATGACCCATATGTGGACCTAATGTCATTTCACCCATCATTGGACCCATTGGTCCCATTGGCCCCATTCCCATCATAGGATATCCAACACCCATTCCCCAAACTCCTGTTGCCGATTCCATTTGTGGTCCTAAACTAGGTGTGCTGCTTGATGTATTAGATTGCATATCTGCATTATTTGAACTGCTATGACTACTATTGTTACTCGTTGAATTAATATTATTGCTTCTATCTTCTACTCTTCTATCCTCTCTTCGATCTCTTTCATTTCTTTCTTCCCTTCTATCTCGATCTCTTTCCCTTCGTTCATTACGATCACCTCTTGATCTAAACCGAAACACACACACATTAATATTTAAATATATATTTCTTCAAAACAACTTTGAAACGACACGCAACTAACAAAAATAATAAATACCTTCTACTGTTATCTCGATTTTCCCTACCATCGCGACTGTCTCGTTCGCGTCTGTTGTCATTCTTATCATTTCGTCTGTCATTGTTATCTTCTGAACTTTCACGTACAACAGGGGGTTGATTTTTGTTTGTACTGAATTCTAATGGCGAGTCGTTCATTCCAGGAAGAGGTATAGGTGGTGGCAAAGGAGGAAATCCTTGACCAGTAAGTTCCATGAAACTTTGAGGTCCTGTGATTGGTCCTAATGGTCCCATGGGACCCATACCTTATTATAAGAAAAATCAATATTTCTGATTAAAAATACTTTTTCGTGATATTTATTAATATAATAATTATATCATATGCAATAAATAGAATGTGAAGGTGTATAATTATTATAACGAAGAGGTTTACCCATTGGCGACATAGCTGCGGTTGGTACTCCAGGGAAATTATAAGCCATTTTTCCTGATGCGAATTGTGAATATTATAAATAGTTTAAAATATGTCGTAATAAGTATACAATGTACGGCACAATAAAATATTACAGAAATATTTCGATCCCTTGGAACATCATACTCCCGACAAATTCAATATGGCAGAGTATCGATGAACGTTGACAAGATAACCTCTTCTCCATCGTCGTTTTCAAACGAATTTAAGATTTTCTAATTAATCTCTTAGGCATAATGAAAAAAAACAAGTTCACTCGTATTATCGGTCAAAGTGTTATTTTAATTCCTTATAAGAAAAAACATGTTATAAGGTATTATTAGATATCTTTTTAAACATCTAAATCTCATCTAATATTTCAACTCTTTCAATTCCACCATTTTTAATGAACTAAATAAATATCTTCCATATTTAGCGAAATAAAATTAAATCATATATATATATATATATACACGTATATTTTAAATTATTAACTATTTAAATATGTTTCTTTTTTAGGTATCACGAATGGATGAAGTCACCAGAATTGCAATATCTCACTGCATCGGAACCACTAACTTTGGCGGAAGAATATGAAATGCAAAAAGATTGGCTATTGGATGAGAAGAGTAAATTAAATATTATTTTAATAATCAAACAAAATATATAGAAGATATTTATTGTTATTTAATATAAAAAAAATTATTTTAAATATTCTTTTTTTTCAAATCCTCAAAAATTACGTAATTTCATAGATAATAGCAAACAAATGTATACGTAATATAGCAAATTCATCCGCCATTAATTTGAGAAACTCAAACGACAAATTATTATAACATTACGAAATACGTATTGAAACAATTATTTAAATATATGTATATTAAATTTGTATATATTTTCAGAATGTACCTTCATCATTTTAGACAAAACGATTTTCCATTCGACAGGGGATGAAATCGGTATGTTGCAACCTCTAAAACTTATAAAATAAATAATATTTAAAAATTATACATATTAACGATATAATCAGTATACTATTATTAAATAATTTTTGTTTAATTATTACGGTATATATAGCTGCCATGATCGGTGATACTAATTTATTTTTTAACGACATGGAATGTAAACATACAGCGGAAGCTGAAATCATGATAGCAGAAAAAGAAAGCAGAAGTAAAAGAAGAGGGTGGGAAGCCATATTACTTATGCTCCGTTATGGTTTGTATTAATAATTATTATATATAATATTTAATTCGTTAAAAAGAAAGAAAAAGATAAAAAATGTATCTGTAAGATTCGATTTTCATTTACATGAAACTTCTATAGAATGAAAGTCTTATCATAGTAAACCAAGGGTTAGCCCTTAATTACACATGCATTATGTATGTATATTTATGTAATATTGTTTTTTAATTTGTGTATTAAGTTTTTACAAAATATTATATGTGTAGGTATCGATACATTAAATGTACAAAAATATCGAGTGAAAATAATGATTGATAATGAAAGAAGTATAAATATGTTCCGAAAGTTAAATTTTCATGAGGTAATTTATATTTAAATAGAATTCTAAAAAAAATATTTATTGTAAATATCACATAACACTAGCAATATTTTTATAATATCTATTCTATATATTGATTAGGTCGGAAGAAGCGAAATATTTCAAGAAGTTACTATGGAAAATAATATTAATGATGAATGGAAAGATTGGTTGTATTCAGAAACAATAAATTCTGTTACGGACGAATGTTATAATACAGAATAATATAAATTATAATTACGATTACACAGTTATTGTTAATAATAATTTAA